CCCCCCCCCACCCCCAAAAAAAGATAAATAAATAAATAAATAAAACTCGTTTAAACTTATTTTTTAGGGACATTTTTAAATTAAATAATACCATTTTAATGGCTGTTACCAATAATTAAGACAAGGTAAGGTATAGGGATGATATGAAAGGGGGGTTGAATACCTAGCCTATCTATGGTCCATAGATCCTCTCTCCCATGGATGGTCTAGTTACAACCCAGTCCTCTATTACATTATTACATTATCATTTCCTATAGCTCAGTTTGGAAGGAATACAAATATAATATATAGTGTAAAATCTTGTATTTTGTATTATTTTATATCTATTTATATTATATGTATTGATATTTGTACTTTTTTTCAAACTGTGCCAGTGTGTAAATTTAATAAATAATTAGGTTTACTGTAAAATATATGTATATAAAAGAAAGCAGCCCACATCTTATAAATTTTCTTTTTTTTTTTGCATTTTAAACTAAAAGGTAATCAATACACTTTAGTAGATTAATCGTCATTAATTGCAAAAGGTTTTATATTACATATAAGAAAGAATTAAATCCACATTACTAATTCAAATGCTGCCAAAATTCATTAAAAACTGTACTCAGAGTTACAATCAGACTATACAATATCAATCAAGAAAGATGGGGTAATAAAGCAAGTATGAATATTAGGAATGGACAAAGAAAACTTGGCTACTGATTATGGCCAACCTTCTTACCCCTGCTCAAGGTTTGAAATTTCGATATTTATCGTATCAGGCCGTATCAGTTGATACATATTGTATATTGTATTACGGGCTTCTCGATATGCCCTTCTAGGGGGTGTTTTGAGATTTTGACCAGTTCAGGGAGTGGATGGACCTTAAATTGGCCCCTCTGAATGGAATTTGAAAAAATAAATAAATAAAAGCTATCGGTACTATCGAATACATCTCTATCGATGTATCGGGCGTATTGGTATTTTGAACTAGGTTTAAAGTATCGATATGATATGCCTGATATGGGGCATATCGTATAGTATCTTTGAAAAGGAGATATGGGATACACATGAAAATCAGATGTATCATCTTTTTTTTCATGTGTATCGGTACCATATCAACACGATATGATAGTGTTTCGGGCGTTTCAATGTCGCATCGGTCGATCCGCTACCGATATGGTGGCATATCGATTGATACGCTACCAAAACAATATGGGGAAACTTAAAATGACAAACGGGTGAAAGAAGGCGCTTCTTTCTCCCGAAAAAAGCCTTCTCTTCTCCCCCCCCCCCCAAAAAAAAAAAAAAAAAAAAAAAAAAGAACCACTCCAAATCTTTGAAAAACTTGCCTACATTGCTAGATCTACAAAAAAAAAAAGAAACAACAAAGACACATCAAAAGTGAAGATTTGAGAAGATTTTTCAATTTTGGAAAATATTGCAAAAATATGTGAGTTTTTCAACTTTTTTTCATTTAATCCTTTTTATTTGTTGTTTTTTTGTTTGAATGATTAAATGTGTTATAATCTTGCCTGATCTACATTTCCCAAGTCAAAAATTACAAATTTTTTATTATATTTGTAGATGTATGGATTTTATGAGGAAAATTGGAAAAAATAAAAATAAAGAAAGAATTGAAAAAAATGTTTGCTTTTTTTATTTGAATGTAAGAAATTGATATGTTAGAAACCTATGGATAATCTACCATATCCATGTAAGATTTGAAATTCTTTGTGTAATATTAATTTTTTTGTAATTTTCAGAATTAAAAAATAAATATTAATTATTTATTTTTTATTGAGATTTGTCCATAAGAACTGCATAATGTTAAAATATGGCTGATCTATCATATTCATAGATCATTTGACATTTATTCCTCAAGTATGATTTTTTTTTGAATTTTTTGTAATTTTCGGAATTAAAAATTAAAAATTAAATATTTATTTTTTATTGTGATTTGTCCATAAGAAATGCATATAGTGTTAATATAAGGCTGATATATCATATCCATAGATCATTTGATATTTTTTCTTTAAATATGATTTTTTTGTAATTTTCAGAATTGAATATAAATATTAATTAATTATTTTTTATTATAATTTTCCCATAAGGGTTGAATATATTCTTAATATATGGCTGATCTATCATATCCATATATCATTTGTTATGTTTTCCTCAAATATGATTTTTTTTGTGATTTTCAGAATTAAAAACAAATACTAATTAATTATTTTATTGTAATTTGCCCATAAGGATTGAATATATTCTTAATATATGTCTGATCTATCATATCCATATATCATTTGATAATTTTTTTCTTTAAATATGATTTTTTGTAATTTTCAGAATTAAAAACAAATATTAATTAATTATTTTTTATCATAATTTGCCTATAATGATTGAATATATTCTTCATATATGGTTGATCTATCATATATAGATCATTTGATATTTTTTCTTTTGTAATTTTCCGAATTAAAAACAAATATTAATTAATTATTTTTATTGTAATTTGATCATGAGGGTTGGATATATTCTTAATATTTGGCTGATCTATCATATCCATAGATCATTTGATATTTTTTCTTCAAATATGATTTTTATTTGATTTTTTTTTTGTAATTTTCAAAATTTAAACATATACTTTTTAATTATTAGATATTAATATCTTGTGTTGGATTATGTTATATGTGTTGAATTGAATTATTAAATATTGATGTGATTATAATTTTAATAAGCATTGTTTAGATGTTCATGTATGTTTGACTATGATGTGGCTCCTCATAAATTCTATTAAAATATATTAATTTGATGTATATATATCTTATTAAAGCCTTATATTTAGTGTTATTGATGTATTTTTATGTTCTATTGATGTTTTTATAGTGTTTCTATATGTATCTATGTGTTTCTATGCATATCTATGCATATCTTAATTTTTCTACGCATGCGTATCCAAGGAGTATCTCGATACATACCTTAAAATTGCTTTCCCAATATGCTAAGTGTATCTGATACTTTGAACCTTGCTCATGCTAGCTAGGAGTCCACAACGTTGAGCACTCTTTGGCTTGGGGGTGTTTTGGGAATTCTTTATAATATGAAAGTCAAGGTGTGGGTATCCATCCACCCACAATGGTTTTCAAAACCAGATCAGATTGGAAAAATCGGGAACCGATCATACTCGAGCAGTCGAACTATTGACCCAAACAACAGTTTTTGGTCATTTTTTATTTTATTTATTTTTTTGTTAGAATGGTTCATCCTTTCGAACCAACATTCAACACAAGAACCGGTCCCTAGACGGTTCCCTGTCCGATGCGGTTTTAAAAACCTTGACACCCACATATATCCTTTTATAACCTCTCCATTTTAATATGTAAGTCAAGGTGTGGGGTATCCACCTACCATGGTTTTCAAAACCGGATCAGATTGGAAAAATCGGGAAATGGTCAGATTCAACCGATCGAATTGTTGACCCAAACAACAGTTTTTGGTCATTTTTATTTTATTTATTTTTTTGCTAGAACGGGTCGTCCATTTGAACCAAATGATCAGACCATTCAACTTGAGAACCAGTCGCTAGAACGGTTTCACGTCCGGTCCGGTTTTAAAAACTTTAATCCCCACCCTTTTATAACCTCTCCATTTTAAATTTCAAATAGTTGTAACTTTTCATTTCAAAATAAAACATTGAGGTTGACAGGCAATTTGTTAATGGCTCACCAATGCTAATGGGTCTATTTTAACTCATGGTCGTGTTTGACAATGCATACATTCTTATCATTCGTGTGATTTAGTATTCCAAGTGCATGGTTATTGAGTACTTTCAAGGTTGTTGAATCTTGGAGCAAAATGTCAGTTTTCCTATACTACATCAGACGATCTAGATGAGGCAAAATTATGATTAAGAGCAGCGTTTCATGCACACCTCAATCAATGAGTCCTCTAACTCCTATATTTACTATTCTTTTCTGTAGCATTTCACGTAAGCATCATAACCAAGAGTTTCATCGTCGTCAAATTCTTCAACCAAGAGATTGCTGAGATATTTTTCATTGCATTTGAAAACTTAAAAATAGGATTGAATAGGTGTGCAAGGAACAGAAGCTCATGCTATTCTGAATATATCTTAAGCCTAACTTTATAGAGTTGGGATCTACTATTACTTTGGCTGTAACAATATTGACCATTAACAATAACCACTGTATGCCACTAGTCCTTAGCACATATATGTCCATCCATTAGCGCAAGTAGCCAATGTTAGAAGCAGATCCAGTCTCAACTTTTATAGGGCTCAAGGGTGCGGCCATGGAGTCTACTGAGTATATTAAAGAGGCAAAATTTCGATTCACAAGTACTTTGATAACCACTTATCAAGACTTGATCGAGTCTGTTATTTTAGTGTCCTAAGTATGTGAATTTTGAGGTCTCCCAGTGGTTTTATGGCAAGTACTTCCATAATTGACAACCCTCTTTTGTCACAATAGGATATTGTAATCTCCACTGAAATTTGCAACTCAAAAAGAAAAGGTTAACTGGATCATTTGACAATTCACTGACGCAAAGAAAGCTTAACAATCTGTTGCTGTTGCCTTTGGAATTGGAGGCAAAAAGGCTGGAGTATAATTATCAATTATATGATTCTCCAGAATCTCCATTTTGAGTCCAATTCACAAGGGAGAGAAAATAAAATGTGGGAATGGTTTTTTCACTTTCAGTATTTCAGGTAATCTAAGAGGGAATGAATTGATACCCAAGTCCATTTCCATGAACCAGAAGCAACCTCAACATTTCTTTAGCTGATATGTGTTTATAAAAGAAGGAAGATGACAGGGCTAACAGTATGTGTACCCTCAGACACAGATTGTATTTATCACTATTGACAAAGAATACACTTGCAGAATTAGATGCGCATTCTTCACTATTAAAACTCAAATGTATGTAGATAAAAGTATATTGTAACTAGTAGGAACAAATGTGAAAAGAAGCTTCTGAGAAGACCAACAATTCATGTCTTAAATGAAAGAGAAACTACAAGGCCCCAAAAGAGACATCCATGTATTCTTTGGATCTCCCTTGTATGAAACAGACCTTGCAGCCCCTTGAACACCCTGCTGAGAAATACAAGGGCACTCCTCAACCGTCAACATTCCTAACTTGTGTGATCCCACAAGTGGCTTTAGCCCATTATCTGTCACATGTAAACACCTGACAATCTTTAGAAATCTCAAATGTGGGATTTGCCCCACAAATTGCAGCCCCTCATCACTGATCTCCTGGCATCTCACAAGCTCCAGGGTCTCCAGAAAGTGAGCTGAACACAGAGCTTTCATTCCATCGTCATCGAACATATAGACATTGTCAAGAATCAACACTCGGAGTGGGCACGTCTGGATTAGAGTGAGGATACCACTCAAGCTGAACAAAGAGGAGGAAGGGCATTTCCATTGACGGGTAAATGATATTTCAACTGATTCCAGCATTGGACAGTTCTGAGCCAATGCTTTCAGACTCTCATCTGTCAAGTGCATTAATGCAGTGTTTGGCATATAGTAGGGGGGTTTTAGAGGGAGATGGAGGGTGATAGACCGAAGGTTATTTGATTTCTGAGCTAAGCTCACAATGTCACTATCCCCAACTCCAAGACATATCTGCAAGTCAAGCTTCTCTAATGCCCTGCACCTCCCCAATAAACAAGAGAGCCCTCTTCCTGGATGGACAATGCAATAAGTCAAGCTGAGCTCCACCATATTCTCACAGGAAACCCACTGCAGGTTCTTCTGTAAATCCGGACTTTGCGCTCTGTAGATGCTATATAGATTAGCCACAAACTGCAACCGTTTAAGTTTCTCCCAAGCAGCTCCAAGCTTAGCAAGATCTTCCTCCTCAATTGCATTGCAGAACTTAATTGATAGATCCTCTAGAGTCCCCACCATCCCAAGGTACTCGAGCCACTTAATTCCAGTCACATTCGAGCATTCGGTAAGGTGGAGGGTGATCAGATTCTTGCACCGCGCAACCACAAAAAATAGGCCTCTAGCAGTGATCCTTTCTGTAGACTCCAATCTCAAAGCTGTAAGCTTTGTGCAACAGCTTAAATAGCGGAGACCAAAATCGTTAATGGAGTTACAGTGACTTAGAGTCAAGTCCACCAGAGAAGGACAGTGTTGAGAAAGTATGAGAAGGCCTTGATTACTCAATTGTATTCCGAATTGAGAACACCAACTAGAGTAATTAATCTCTACCTTCCTCAAGTTGGGGAATCGGTTGCAGAGAGAGATTAAAGCTTCAAATGCAGGTCCAGGGTGTAATCCACAACCGACCCTAAGTAATTCCCGCTGCTCTCTGTCAATGTTGTGCAGGCGTTTACATGCTAAAGAAGTGGAATTCCGGTCTGCGGTTTTCTTTAGCCTACCTAAAATCTCATAAACTAAGTGCTCTGGCAAATCCTCCATTGAAACCAAATTCTTCCTTCACAACATTGAATGGAATTAATTATGACCAAACCCAGATTTTAACTCATGCAGGGTAAAAAACACGATGAGTGATTTCTATAAATAATGCTTACTATTTTTCTTTGCAAGTAAGAAGGAAAGTAGAATTCGAGAAAGGGACATAACATGCTTTCTGAATCCAATCTACATAAATTTGGTTTGAAAAATTAAGCTATTTTTTATTCATAAAAAAAGAAAGTAATGTTTTTGTAAACTTTCATTCTAGTTTGCTAGTTTTTCCATCTCAAAAGGTAGAAATAAGAGATTTAGATCTAACAATATAAAGGCCAAAATCATCATAAAAATTAAAAATTTGGAAAGAACTTCGGTTGAGGAGGAAATAAAGAACGTGAACCCAAGAAAAGATTAGGGATAAGCAAACGGATAAAAAGACGCACCAAGTCTATAGCTGAAATAAATTAAACTAGAAGACTCGTTAGAACTCCCAACGAGGCAGCCGTGAAGATATTTTCCTTTGATACCTTCCCCTGTATAAATGGTTATCTTCCTCTTTCCAAGAGTTCAAAACTGTTATTGGAGGACATATATATATATACCATTGTCAAGAAGATTATCGAGGTTCTTGCTGGGATTTGGAGATTGGTTTGAATGCTCTCTTCTTTGTTGTGATGAACAGATTCAACTTGAAACCTGCAATACCACTTTCTACATTGAAAAATGAAAATTATGAGAGGAGAGACAGAGAGAGAGGGAGATAATCTTAGGTTTGAACTATCTATCACTCCATTGATGCCAGAGTGAGCAAGGTTTATACTTGTATATTCTTGATGAGATGTATATTTGTCAATGTATTACAGGTACAAGTGTATATACATGAATTTAAATTTACAAATACGAAAATAGATAAAGCTATATATCTTCACTGTGGTGAGTGGGTAGGATCGTTAACTTCGGTTATCCTTCTTATCTTCACGTAAGTCGTAACCACCTCCTATCTTCACGCAATTAACGTCCTATCTTCATTTACCATGAGTTTCGTTTACTTAGTTATTTCATAGAATATATAGTATATTAGTTGCTGACCGGAGAGTGAGAGGGCACTCAAGGTCAAGGACGAAAAGCAAGGAGAACTAACGGGCTGGCCTCTAGAGAGTAGTTAAAGTACTTGGTCTCGTGCAAAATTGATTTCAATATGCTCATTCTGAGCATGAAATAATGGGTTTTCTGTGAAATAAATTGCACTCAGATGCCATATTTCAGTAGTTACCATAGCTATACTACGATATTCACTTTCAGTAAGTACTGGATCGAAATATCATACCGGGTTTTTTGATGACCATGAAACGAGATTATTACAAATGGAAAATTTCCCATCCCATCCCCATTCCGTCTCCCAAGGCTTCGTTTGGAAATGATGCAAGTAAGTGTGAATGCAAATATGTAGAATGTAAAACATTCATATAAATTGTAAAGTTGGATTAGTTTTGCACTAATAAATTTACCTTGTTACCAAACAAATTTTTAGCTGTAATGGATGCAAACATGAATTTCAATAAAACATATGCCTTTTTTTTTATCAAAAGCCCACTTGAATGTAAATTTACTTATTTTTTATTGATGTACTTTTACAGCTTATTATCAATGTAAATATACATTGGTCTGTTATTTGCCAATGCATAAATGTAATGTTGCCAAACATGGGTAAAAGTGAACCAAATTTACCTTGAACAAGGATTTATACTCCATTTGCATCGTTTCCAAATGGAGCCTAAATATATAATATATATTATGTATTATGTCTATATATAAAATGCACATACATACATTGTTTTAAATTTGGGGTCAGGGATGAAAGTATGGTCTCCAGCTTGAACCAGTGTTGTTGCCATTCCTAGAGGTTATTACTAGACTTGTTCATGGGTCGGGTAGCCTAATGGGTTAACTCCACCTGACTCGTTCTATATCAAGCATTGACAAAGTTTTAATCCCATGGGCTCTTGCTCAGGTTCTAAACACTGGGCCCGATTATTTGCAGGCCAGGCGCTCTACCTTTCCCAAATAAGCTTGGCTCAACCTGGCCTATATATATACTCTATATATTATAGGGATAAGTAGACTGCACTCCACCTCAGAAATCTGAAATTACAGCCCCTCCTATTCTACTAGTAGCCCCCTATAAACCGCATCCTACCTGTGGATTTGACATCAATGCACGGTCAGGATTCACCCCACCTGTACGGTAGCTAAGATTTATGGGGTGAACTGAACAGTAAAAACCCCATTATTATAACTAATTAATGTATTTAAAATATTAAATTAGACTTGGGTCTTATCATTTTCCATTTATAAAGAGGCAAAGCATGGCCCAGCCCAATCCATTAACAGATCAATGTAATTATTACCCATAAACACACAATATCCTTATAACCACCTTGGCATTTCTTGTCATCTGGGCAGCTCGTCCAATTTAAATCTGAGTATTCATGCAACTAGAAGTCATTAAGAGTCAACTATAATCCAAAATGCATTATATTTCTAGTATCGAAAGATACACTTAAGGATGTCAACAAGTCGGTTTTGGCATGGGTTTGCCTCAACTCAATCCGATATGACCCACCTTAAAATATATGATTTTCAAACCCGACACAGCCTTATAGGGTTTAACTTGATACTGACCCATAGCATTTCAATTATATTTTGCTAACATGTTTTGAAGACCTAAAATCCATTAATTTAAGGTAGGAAATTGTTTTATAGAATTTAAGATGTCACTTTTTATATTAAAAGAAGAAAAAAAAATCAAAACCAACATATAAATAAATCTTAAACTTTAAAGTTATAGATTTAGAAGTCAAAAAATTACAAGAATACATTGTATATATGTAGGGTATCATGACGGTTGTAATCCGATTGGATTCAGCAACAATCCAATACAGTCCGAATTTGAATTTAATCTACATTAATCTTATTGTGTTTAAAATGACAAAAAATATTTTTTAATATAAATATAAAATATTAAATTTATTAATTATAAATACAATATTTTATCAAACTTGGATTATGTTTGGATCATCAGATGGCTTAAATCTGCATCCAATTAATAATTATTAATGGGATGCATATTTTATGATTTTGAGAGCACTGACATAAGGTATATCAGATCTGCTAATTATGACATAATGCAATATTGGTCCCCACTAACCACAATTCTTCAGCAAGTGGAAGAATCCTCGTGAGATAGTGGTACAAAAGATCTTTATAAGTGTAACAAGTGTCTACGGAAACACGGATTTTGGTTTTTATTTATCAAGAATTTTATGTTTTTTTTTTCAGATTTATGTGAGGATTAGGGAAAGTTTATTTTCCTGGATATCACTTATCTGGGTAAGTGATACCAATCTCTTAGGTGGATAAATAATTTTCTCACCTAGGGGAAAGTTGTCAATACTTGAATAGGACAAAAATGCCCTTTTTAATAATGGATTTTTATGGCTAAAAATGGCCATTACCTTATTTACATGTGAAATAAAAAAATATGGGTAAATGCACTTATCTATGTAAGCAACTTACAAAAAAGCGAACAGGGTGTTAAAGGTTTTGTTGCTGCTAAGTGCTAACTCAAAGCCTCTGTTGATCCGAATGCTGAAGCTGTGGAGGCAGATGCATTGATCTTGCTTCCTGAATTCCCAACTCAATTTGCAAGCAATTAGTGTCACATTGTGGGGGACTCTCCTGTAATCTGCTCAATTTGCAAGTTTTAAGTGTCACATTGTGGGAGATTCTCAATCTGTAATCTGCCTCAATTAGACCTGGCAATTGGGTTGGGTCAAGACCCTTCTGGTTGATTTCGGGTTGGGTTAAATATAGGGTTAGGTTGTCAAATGCTAAACCCTAACCCTAAATGTTTGGGTTAAGGTTGCCCCATGGGTTAATTTGGGTCATCCCAAAAAATAACTGAATTTTAAAAAAAGAAAAATATATATATAAAATGCCAAAATTAAAAAAATTAATCTTAAAATTCCAAATATAAAGTAAAAAACTTGAGCATTTAAGAATTTAAAGAATAAAGACTAAATAGAAAAAATAAAAAAATGGAAAGTTCTAATAATGCATAAATAGTCCCAATTATCCTTTGCTTGTATTCATGGATCCTCTAACTTGATTGTACATCGTCTGGTTAGATCCAATTCGTAATCATATCCATTGGCGATGTGGTCTATTCACCTTTGGCATAACATCACTAAACCCACCAACTGGTGGTTGTTGTTGCAGAGACCTGACCTGAAGGACTAGTGAATCAAATCCTGCTGCCATCAGGGCTGGGTGGGGTGGATTACCCCATTCTGTACCCCATGAAAAAAAAAAAACAAAACAAAACAAAAAGCCAATTGGATGGACCAATAAGATATATTGAATTTGAATAAATTGGATGGACTAATATGACATATTAGATTGGACTTAGTCTGTCCATAATGAATTTATATTTGATTGAGCCAATATCTGGTCCATTGATAGAAGATAAGAACACAGGTGTCAAACTGTCAATAGACCAAGTTTAAATTGAAATAAATCTTAATTAACAAGAATTTGAACAGATTAGACAGTCTTTAAACTGATCCAAAATGATCCAAAAATATTCATTGGACTAAATTGGACCAGGTCCATTTATAATGGACTCACATTAAACTGGATCGGATTACACAAAATCCGTCCAATTGACACCCCTAACATTTGTCCGCCTGCATTTAGTGACATTACCATTTCTACTTGAGACATTTGGAGAGACAATGCCATTTCATGTCAAAACATTTTACATGAAACTTGTATGCTGATTAAGCATTAAATAAGTGCTTTCAGCAGTATGTGTGTGATATCACAACTTCTACTTAAAAGTTTTTAAATTAAATGCTTAATTTTCAATATTGACACCATTCTACCACCCTATTATATTGTTTCACATCCTATGGTCATATTTATGAATAAATGCTTTTTTGATGAATATTTGTTACTTAGGCTCCTCAACACAATGTAAGTGTCTCATCTCGTAATAATGATAAACTAGTCCTAACAAATATGGAACTTTGGCCCCTTTGTTAACTTTTTAGTAAGTTGTGGGTCATGTGTTAATTTTTTCTTTTCAAGTGATACTTATCTTTCAAAAGATTAGGTACTTTTATTATCGGGGAAAGTTGATAAAATATAATAAGACAAATTTATTTATTCTAATAATTAATTTTTATGGGTAAAAATGCCATTGTATGTTTTACCTTGAAATCAAAATAATATTAATAAATTTATTTAGATAAAAGTGCATTTTCCCAAGTAAAATGGCCTTTTATGAAAGGAGGGGCACTGAACAAGCTAATTAGTGCATTGGGTTTAGAAGAACATAAGAGTATGATTCTCGATCTCTTACCCACGAGAATTTTACCTATGCTTACCCATAATACACTATCTCCGTAAATTGGGAACATCTCCCCCTGCATAATACTATGTAGAGTTCTCGCGGGCAGTTGATTTGGACTCATAAGAGTGTTGGAGATAAGTTCACATTGGCATCCCACATAACATCTCAGTGATAAGTACAAGGTATGTTCTCAATGCACACTGACATAAAGTATGTACACATGCATTTTATAAATAAAATTTGTATATATTTTCAATTAATTCTACTCTTAAATTGGATTGTAAAACTCAACCAATCCAACCAAGTCTGATTAAACTGGTATGAGCCAATGTAACCTAAGCCTGAGCCCAACTTGCTGAACTGTATTGGATTAAACTTGAATTGGCCTGCATTGATAAACTTGGACTTCAACTCTTGTTGGGCCAGGGCCGAACCCGTGGTTTGTACCTTTAGACTATGTTTGGTTTGAAGGAAAATGTAAGGAATCCTTTTACAAACCTTGTATAGGTTTCCTTGCATTTTCCTTCCTTTCCCTACTTTTTCCTTCAAACCAAACACAGCCTTAAGGTTTGGCTTGGATTATGCAAAAAAACGCTCCAGTTGCAATTGCTATTAGCATTGGCATGAATTTGTTTGTGACTTAAGGCTCTGTTTGTTTGCGATATAAATGCTGAATCGGGGCATTTATGTACCCTGATTCACATTTATTTGATACTTAACAAAGTAATAATTATTAGAGCAAAAATGTATTTTTTTACAATTTTGTACATTGAAAAGAATACATTATTGTACCTATTTTTTTAATACAATTTTATGTAAAGTTAAGGTATTGAAGCATAAGAAAGTTGGGGCATTTAATGATGGACCCACACTTTACACCAATTTCAAAACAAACAAAATAAATGTAAAAATGATTTAAAATGTGAACCATATTTACAGTCATAAACTGAAAAATTGGATAAACATGTAATGTATATTTACGTTTGCATTGCAATCAAACGCAGCCTTAACAGTTCAGCGTCGAGGACGGATATGCAAAAACCGGCCCCCACACCGCCCTGTTGCCAATGCGAGTAACAATTGCAATTTTGTCTTTTCCCGTGTTTGTATCCAATCTAATCTCCGACGTCCGAAAGGAGTGTGTAGACTATAGAGCAATGTATGGTGTCTGTCAGTCTGTCCGCTGCTCCTTGCTCCTGTGACTGCGAATGAAAGAGGTTGTTGACCTTTTTGAGTTTTGAGAGCGCACTTGCGCAGAAGACGCTCCCCGACACCGAATATCACGTAATATGCTCTTTGTTTTTTTAGTACAAAGAGCGTATATTTATCATCGACATAAAATGATAATTTTATTTAATTTTGAGATCAGAATTTGAAAGCAACCTCTGGCTCAGTCTAGGGTGGGTGATTATTCTCCATTATCATTCACCAATACTCACCCTGAGCTAGTATTGTGTATTGAATTCTCATACAAGTAAAGAAGAAGAAGAAGACAAGCTCTCTCTCTCTCTCTCTCCCCCTGTCTTTGTAACTCTGTAGGTTTTGGTGAGATGGGTTCGGGCAGCAGTCGGCTGGGCTCCAGCCATTCACGACCGCGGGACAACTGCGGGGAGAGGAGAAGACTATCGTCATTCATTTGCGGTGGCTTCTCTTCTGCTGCTTCGGCTGAGGTGATACTATCAGGAATCTGAAATGAAAAAAAAAGAGAATATTTGCTATTCCATAATGAATTCTGGAGCTGTTTCAGCTGCTTCTATTGATTTTTTTTTTTTTATTTCCCTCTAATATATGAACCCTAACATGGATTCTTATGGTCGGAGGAAGGCCGGTTGACAAGGGAGATTGCCTCTCGTTTGGGAAAACTTTGTGGATTATGTTTTATGTATGTTTAATTATTCGTTTATTTGCTGAAATTCAATTGAGGCCTAGTTTTGGTGAAATTTGTTCATTTTTGAGTAATTTCAGGATGAATTTGACTTGGCTGGAAGGATATTATGTGCAGTTACGGGGATTTTCATTAATGATGTTCTGGGGATTTATATATTGGGTCCTGTTATCCTCCAGCGTCCATTTGATGGTTAATTTTTGTTCCGCGAATATAGGTCATTCATCACTGTTCTATTGACTTCGAAGCTAAGAATCGTCAATGATATGCTCTTATGTAGAAGTAAAATCTATGTAAATATGAATACCGTTTTCATGCATACAGAATCTTTGTGTGCCTGGGCTATTGCTAGCTTTGAGCTGATCTCTGCCTTCTTTATGGAGCCTAGTATATACTCCTGACTTCTTTATTGGGTGATACAGCCTAAGCCATAGTTGGATGCTTAACTTTATCTTAGGTGGTTCACAAGGATTTGGTATACTTTTCTTTTGCAATGAAACTTATCCTTTTCTCAAAAACTTTATCATAGGTATAACAAAGGTGTTCCATTGGAGTGGCACACTCAATGGAATTAGCTTTACATGATCAGTGAGATCAGTCATTTCCACCTTTCCAGTTGCTAAATGAGTAGAATTGTATTCTAAGGCATTATACTAAACTTAAAGCCTGAAATTGAATTATAAAAGTCTTTTTAATCGGTAAAGCTTGAATTGGAAATACAAAGTAAAAAAATATGTGCTATGATTAGAACCTTTTTTATGGTACAATGGTCAAAATCATGAGTAATATAATTAAGGTAATTCTGGCCTTTCAGGAGAGAAAGTGAACAATACTTCCAATGAATTTTAGTATGTTGGACAAATGTGCTTATTTTATTTGACCTGAAGTAGTATTCCAAGTTCAATAGGAACAGGATAGATTCATTTTTAAGCAATGTTGGTTGCAACATGATGGTCAGTTGTTATGAAGGTTGACAATGAAGTGCTTTTATTTGCTTGTTCAATAAATTATTAGTTTCCTACCAACAATATCTCATTCTCTGCATGTTTTTTTTGTAATTTATTGCATTCTATGCTTGGTGATGTCAAATGCGGTGGAAAATGAGATTGACATTTCTGATTCTTTATTTGCAGATCGGAGATTATCCAGCCGAATTACTCACTAATTCTCAAGGAGGTCATGGTCCTGTTTCTAGCAGTGAACTTCAATGCTCAAGAATGAAATTTTCTTCAATCATTCATGCAGTAACTGAGTGTTCCAGCTCCAAGACTGAAGATGGGACATCTGGAATGTCATCTGAAAGCAGTAATGGTCCCAGTAAGGACTTCTGTATGGAACATGCTTCAAGAAGCATTGGAGCTAGTAATAATGTTAAAAACTTTACCAAGAGCAAGGAGTCGGTTCCTTGTCAGGTTAAAGCCGATAGTAATCCCATAGATGTGGCTAGCACCTCATTTAAAGGGCAGCAATCTGTGGATTTAGTCTCCGTAAATGTAGGGAATAGTTTAGATGCGATTGTGGAGGTTGATGATTCTAAAGATGAGATTGAATCTTGTATATGCACGGAGAGGACATGTTCAAGTAGTACCGCTCATCAGGAATTTGGAGATTCATCTGCAGATGTTACACCATCTGTTGGAAATTCTACAGGCGAAGTTCTGGGTGTCCATGATTCTGATGCAGATTCTGTTCATGTTGTTTCTGATTCACCAGTTGCCTTGCAATCACTAGGAGACGATAGTCCTCATGAGGCAGCACTGCTAGGTCTGGGATTCCCACTGCCAGATAGGCACCAACAAAGAACTGGAAGTGTTCTTCATGTTGATATGGTGAGTATCTCTTCCAACTTCTTATCTAGTAGCTCCGGGGATATAAATAACCGTGATGCAAGAAGAAACAATAGGAGGCTGTTTTGGGATGCATTTTCCAGACAAAGTTCTAGAAGGCATATTGATTCCCCAACCATAGTTTTCTCAACCGAAGATGCTGACGATCTGGGATCTCCCAACAGATGGCTACTTGACTTTAGTGGTGATCTCTTTGAGGATGGGTTTGGAGGTGATTTGGGATACCTGGGCAGAAGCCATGGAATTTATCAACACAGATGGAATTCAGGACCTGAGGTGATCTTTTCTCTAGTCTATTTTTCTTGTTCTGCAAATGATTTGACTTTTATCCTGGCAAACTAGAAAGCTACCATCATCTAGGATGTTAAGATCATCATGTTCCAAGGAAATTTCATATCTTAGGTTCAATCAGGTATTTTTATATTAAAATTCGACAATTTGTTGGATAACTCACCCTGCCTAATGCAGCTTTGTTATTATCATATTGTTAGCTTATCTAGGCATTGCCAAGGAACTTTTGTTCCATCTTAATTCTCATGCTTCTAGCAATTCTCATTAAAATATATAATTGCAGAGGAAGCTAAGAAACCCATCTTTATCTTTTGTTTTTTTTTTTTTTTTTTTTTTTTTTTTTTTTTTAATTTTTGAATAATCAATTTTGTATTAATTGCCTGTAACATTTTTAGTTTTCTTGTGCACAACTACAGGTTCCATTTTATCTTTTCTATTTCAGAAATACAATGGGCCAGAAGAGTTTCTGTTGACATTCTTTTAGTTTTCCTCTTCTCCTTATTACCTTTATTATGTCCATTCTACATTTAACTTTTCAGATCTGGGAAAGACATCGTGGTGATCTTGATGAGAGTGGTCGACGAACAACCTTTTGTGCATCTGGGCTCCACCCTGATGGTACATGCTCATGTGGGAGTTTCCTGGTCACTGAAGAGTCTGGTACTCGTGCAAGTATTTCTCGAATAGTCATGCTAGCTGAAGCCCTATTTGAGGTAGATTCCTTTGAATCTAGTGATTTTTTTTTAATTATTTAGTGTAATATTTTTTTGACACTTTTCTCCTTTCAAACTTTGATGATTTTCTAGTATGTAGATATCAACTTACTATATGAATCTATGATTTACAGATAAATCATATATAAATATATGATTAAGCAAGTCTGAAATGATTCCTATGATTTACATATATGAATCTCAGATTGAGTCCGAAATGGGTTTTTTCTATTCAAGAATTAATATATTTTATCATCCATGCACCATATCTTTAGGGACTCATGTCAAAGAAATATCAAAATCTTAAAGCAGTTGTTTCTGCCTCCACCTACTTTATAGCTTCAAAAAGATGATTTCAGCTTACCTTTTTTTTTGTCTAACAGAAAACCTTCTCTCCATTACATATCTGTTTCTCTCTTAACAATCCTCTTTCCAATTTAATGAGGTACACTGAATCATAGTTGTCAAGGCACCAAGGAGCTAGGCCATAGGAAGGCACCATGTTGCCTGGGTGTCACTTAGATGATGATTTTCTTTTAATAAGGAATAAAGAAAACATGACTAGTTTTATGTTGTTTCCCTAGTTTTTTATGAGTTCAGTTATTTTCTTTAGTTGATGTAGCACCTAGCAAATATTGACAATGATCTTGCATGAAAGAATTGAACAAGAAAAGTAAAAGGAAATCAACATTACATCACATATAGAAAATAATGGAACCTATTTTGAGAAGAGGTAAAGTATCAATTCATTAAATAAAAACCATGTACAACCAGTGACTGTATGTGTTTGTAATACATCAAAGAGCAGAAAAAAGGAAAAAAACAAACAAACACACAAAGGGAGTGAGCATATTAATTAGAAAGTAGATAAAATGAATAGGTGGGACTCTGTTGTTATCATGGTTAGAAGTTAGAAACAAGAAGTGGTGTCATTACAGGGTGAGAGGAGGGGGAAGAACCATTAAAAGGTTCTTCCATGGAAACAGAGGTTATGCTCTATTTTGCTCAATGGAATTGAGAGAGAGAAGGGAACTAGAAAAAGAAGCCTCTTGTAATTAACATAATGATGGAAGGCCACTAGTTGAAGCCTTATTGCAGTGAAGACATTACTCTTAAATTTCTGTGATGGTTTTCCCTAAACCTATTTTTATGGCTCTTAATTTGTTGCCATGGTTCACCCTCGTTTTATATATGTATGCATATATGATGATGATGCATACATGCACTCCATGGATGTTCCATAACTTGGGTTTTAAATTTAATTCTCCTACGATATTTTACCAATAAAATAATGCTCCAATGATTTGCTCCAGCTCCAGCTCCATCTCCAATCTCCATCTTGCACTCTTGTGCACTAGCAGTCGGTCAAAATTGTTAATTGTCTGCTGTTTGTTTTTATTTTTTTTCTTTCTCTTTGTGATGATTATATTCGTCAGTTTCAGATCTGAACTTCTTGTAAAAGAGAAGAAGTAAGAGAGAGAGGGAGAGAAGAAGAGAAGGAGAAATCGAAGAAGAAGAAACCTGTTCAAACCCAAGAGAAGAGTATAGTTCTCATTCTCTCTTAGGTCGGCCAGGATATATAGTTTACTAAGATAAATATCAAATGTCATTTATGCCCCTATTTAAGTTGGGACACATCAGCACCAACTAAAAGACACATCACCATATTAATAAAACCCAAATGACTATTATACCCTTATTTAGTTGACACTAACACTCTTAAAATCATGGTGGCAGGTTTTATCATTATAGATTTAATTGGGTTTATCAGAATGAGTTTGATGATGATGTGTAATATGTGGATGTTCTAATCACAAGTAGCTAAATAATGAACTTTATTGATTAATAATGTTATAGGGGCCATTGCTTGATGTAATGGTAAAATCTCAGGTTGACAAGCATGAGCAGGTTTAAGTCTAAGAGCAGTCACGTTGTGCAAAAAATGCCGAAGTTTAGGTCTGTATCCGGTCTACCCTCACACTACCCAAGAAAATTGGGCCCAATATTGGGTAATGGCCTTTTTATTGATTAATAGTGTTGTGTTAGGTTTGATATAATATAAATTTGAAACACATCAAATGGAGTATGTTGAGTGGGCCGGTTTGTTTTGTTGAGTGGCCCGGTTTGTCTTTAGTTTGTTTTATTTAATTAGGAAGTTGTTGGGCCTTTGACCCATTAGTTTTTTATTTTTTAAAGTTGTGACTATTCAGTTTTAGTAGCCACCCTACTAAGGGCATCCTTGTAATATCTCATCTTTAAGTTAAATATAAATATAATGAGGGGCTGGCGGCTAGGGTTAAGTTCCTCATAATCCTAGTTGACCTCCTACTCTTTTTTTCTCTTTCCCTCTCTACTGCTGAAATCTTCATCTTCCTCCTCTTTCTTTCACAAGAAGCTTGACCGAATCAACAAATAGTGATCTCTACTTCAGAGCAGGTTGAAGGTTCTTGAAGTTGTTCTCTCATGCAGCCCTAGATCGGCCGACTGCATGGTGATTTAAGAGGCTGATCGAAGCTCTCAGGTAAGCCCAGTTTTTGGATTTTCTTGATGGATCAATGTGCCCTGTATCTGGTCTAGGGTTTCTTATCAAAATCAGGAAAAACTGGAGAAAGGGGAAGAGTCCTGTTTTTGCTGGACTCTTCAATTTTGACCTAGGAAGAGGTGCCCTAGTTTTTTAGGGTTCCTTGGGGTTTTTGTAAGGGGCGATTCAAGTCCTACGTGGTTTGGAGGCTTCTAGAGAGGGAGGTTGTCTTTTCTCTCTCTTCTCCCATCCCACAGAAAAATCTTTTGTGGGAAGAAAGCGCAGGACACCAAGAAAGTGTTGTAGGTTCCAAAAGATGTTTTGTTTGATCTTGCTGCAATTTTTAGTTATTTTCTTTACCATTTTTTAGAAGCATGGAGGGCCATAGAGTTGAAAATAAGCCCGGGAGTGAAATGAGACCAGTGGGAGGGGGTGCTGGAGACCCCTTCGGGGCTGGAACCATTACTACAGTTAGGTTGGATGGTGCAAACTACTTGGAATGGTCACAATCTGTAAAGATGGCCATTGGGGCTCATGGGAAATTAGGGTATATC